TGTGTGTGTGTGTGTTTGTCAACTGGTAGACAATACTGTAGTGAATATTTAGTGCGAACATTTAAACGCCCTTACGTTTTTCTGTAGAATTTTTGTGCGTTTACTATGTCCGTAATCTGTAGTGACGATGACGAGTTCTACTATCGAACAAAGAAGTCCTCAAAGCACAAGCCTGGTGAAACCAATCAGTCGAAACAGCTGATTCTCTTCTTGATAAGAAGGATTCCCTTACGAAGCAAATACAAGATTTGGAGAAGTTGCTCCTCGAGGACGGTGAAGCAGCAGAGCCAAATGAGGTGGCTGAAGCTGGCGATGCACTTGATGCGTATATGTCGGCTGTGTTGTCTCAGCTAGGTAAAGCTAATCCCACATATTATCTGTTAATGCGCGGAGTGAAAAAAAAGGGTAAAATCTGTATTTGAGTAATACATAGTCGTATCTATCTTTTGGTTAAATTTTCTTAGTAATTTCTCTTTAATTCTCAACTTGTGCATTGCAGCACGCTGTTTTCCTCAGAAGTGTTCTGTTTTCATTCAAAATTTTTATGTGGCACTTAATTGCACCCTTCCCTTGAAATAAAAGAAATAGAAATTAATTAATTGAGAATAAAAAACTGCTCAGCCTCTGTCCCATAAAATTGGCTGTTTATATGCCACATCATTTATTGGACTTTTTTTGCAGGTTCTCTTTGTTGGTCGACAGTTTTGGATCGTAAGGAGAAGCTCCAGAAAGAGATGTTCACCCTTCAGTCTGGATAGGATTCTCTATTTGCTGAGAATAGCCCACCCAACCGGAGAAGCAGCTAAGAAAAGAGAATCCAAAGTACAAAATCCTAAAATGATAGTGAGCAAAAAACACTCTTTAGACACGAGCAATCGACCCTTGCCCCAAAAGAATCTGGAAATCGTCCCCTCATCAAGCAAAAATAAGCAATTAGTCCCAGTATCCTCGCCGGTAAAATCCAGTCAAGAGAAAACCAATGCAAACTCAATATCAGAACCTGACGTGAAGAATGAAGATCCGGAGTCGAAAATGAAGAGAGTGATACTCCTACTGTATTTATTGTTGCTAAGCCTCAATGGCTTGGTGCTGTTGAGGACAGGCAAAAGCAAGAAACTACACGAGATGACCCTGTAGATACACAGGACACGACCGATCAGTTTGTAGACTACAAAGATGGGGGAAAAATTTCTGAACAAAACAGAATCTTTGTCAGGGGACCAGGGAATAGAAGATGCTGCACCTGGACTGATAATTAGAAAACGTAAGCAAGTCGAGAAGTCAAAAGATAGTGAGGCCAAAGATCCTGAAGAGACTAATAACATTAATGGTGCAGGGTTTAAGGCAGAAGATGCTGTGGCCTTGTTATTAAGGCATTCAAGAGGATACCACGCTTCAGAGGAAGAACATGGGTCGATTAGTGGAGATGTTTTGGTCGAGAAAGAAGGAAAGAAAGAGGGGAAAAAGGCCAAACGGGTGTTGGGCCATGATAAACCCGCGTTTGTTGACGAGCCAGATTATACTACTTCGGTGCCTCCTGGAGGTAAACTGATTTGAGTTTTTTATTGAGAATTTGTTTATATTGTAATGGTAGATTCTTTCTTTCCATTTACATTCGTTTATGCGCTTACTTTTGTATGATGGTCTTTTCCACAGGTCAATCGGGTGATGGGCGCACGTCGTTGAATGATCGTTTCGGATATTGAAAAGTTGTACGTCGTTGAATGATCGTTTCGGTTATTGACACTTCTGCCCTCTGTCCGTGCGCGCGGTTTCCACTTTAACTGTTCAGTCACCGCCTGGTAAATTGAGCAGTCTTCCTTTCAATTCAGCACCATATGTGTATATACGAATGTATGTGTATCTGTTGAGCTAAATTTGACTTTAGTGATAATCTGTTTGTTGATTTTTTTTCCAGAGGTTTTGGGAGCGGATGAAGACGCGGCGCAGAAGCTCGGTTCGAGAAGGTGTCGGAGAAATTCATCGTGGAGTGTAATTCTCGGGCGGTTCTGTATAAGCACAAGAAGACTGGCGCTGAGATCATGTCGGTGTTGTGAGAGGACGAGAACAAAGTCTTTGGCATTGTGTTCAGGACTCCTCCGTAAGCAGATTGAATCCTGGTTTTAGCGGTAGATTACTTTAGAAGTCTTCCTTGATCCGACAATGTTATTTTCTGTTTTTATATAAGATGAGCCACTTAATGAAGTTCCAACATATGTTAAAATGTTGATGCAGAAAAGACTCGACAGGAATTCCTCTGAGATTTTTGCCAAGAAAGTGGATAAGAGTCAGGGTAAGAGGAAGGAGCTGTCTCCACTTGATGCAGCGGTTCTTATTCAGAAGAGTTCTAGGGCTTATCTCATACAGAGAACTCAGGCCCTACGTTCACTTCGTGAGATGGCCGTTGCCAAGACCAAGTTGAAGGAGATGAGGGGTTTCTTCCACAACTTCTCCTGACGCCGCCTTCCGGCTCGTGATACTGAAGAACGTCAGATGGAGTTAAAGCCAACATTATGGAGGTACTCTGTGCTATCTGTAGCTTATCAATCCATCAATATATATTTCTTTCGTCAATTTTCATTTTATTCTATGTCTTTTGTCGAACTTGCAGCAAGATCTATTCTTTTTTACTTATGCTCATGTATGCAAAAATGGCCATGTTGACTCAGTCATTTTATGATTTACATATTCTGGTATGAGACTGAAGATCATACTTAACCTTTCCATTTGTATGTCTTACTACAGTTGAATTGCCACCATGGTTCTATTCAATGTCCTATTCTTTGGAAACACATGTGCACCTTGTAAGTCCCCATGAAGCTTGTTGGCTTCTTACTCCAAATTTGTTAAAACTCTTTTTCAGATGCCGATGATACTCCAAATTTGGTTTCTGAGTATATATATATATATGAGAAACCTCTTTACTCGAATTGCATTCCTACACTTAAAAAGACTAACAAAATAAAAAATTATGGTTCAGGCGTTGGTTCTAATATGTTCTAACATGATTCTATATATGGAAGTTGATTTTTCCCCCCTAATGCTTAAAGTTATATTTGTGTGCTTACCTTGCAGATACTGGTATGTGTATATACACAGGACCCATCACCATCAGTATAGCTATTTTTTGATAAGAAACGATTTATATTTAACGCTGGAAAAGTAAGTTTTACTTGCTTTTTATTCAATTTTTGGAAGTTACTTTTTATGAATAATATTTAAGTCAGTGGTTAAAGAAACTTTCATGATTTCTGAATTGTTTAGTTTGAACTTGTCATCCTATGATTTCGTGTAGAATTTATGTCCATAGATGTTTTATGGATTTGGAATTTTTTAGTATAAAATTTAATTAGAGATTGTGGCCTTATTTAACAGCGTGAAACCTTTTCTTCAGGGACTTCAACGTTTCTGCAGTGAGCATAAAATAAATCTGTCAAAGGTACATTGCGTCATCAGCCATGTGCTATGATTTTTACTATTTCTGTACCTGAACATAAGAAATGGTGTTAGCAGGATTCAACTTTCGAACTTTCAAATGTAAATTCTTTTTGGGCCTATCACTCCCATCTCTACCCTCTGCCCTTTTTCGGTTAAATTCAAAATTTTCACTTTAACCCTTACCACTTCCATCCTTTTCTTCCATAAAATTCTTTTTTTCTTTCACGATCTTGGGTAATGGGCTTCAATTTCTACTAACAGGGCCTAAATTTTTGTTCCTATGTTGTCAGTATAGTACGACTTCTTGGAGTATGACGAAAAAGTGTAATGGGGTTTGTGGGTTTTGAGAAATGGCGGAAAATAGTTTTAAAAGGAGAGATTTTGGAGGCAGACAAGCGGTGCAGAAAGGGTGGCGATAACGGTGGTTGGCTGAGGAGAGGAGGCAAAATTCTAATTGTTATGAACATAACTGTAAAGTAAGTTCCAGTTGAAACTCTAATTGTTATTTTATTTCTATTATATAATATTTATCTGTTGATATTTTTGTAGGCGGCGGTTGATTTGAAAAGCAATTGTTGGCTGACATAAAATTTTCCAAAATGCATCTTCACTTGCAACGCATCAAGATTTTCATTCGCAAGCAGATTGTCCATCTCCTCTGTCGTTCACTCACCCCGTCAAAACCTTAATTCTCTATGCGGCATGCTTGGTTCACTAGAATAATTAAAATAACTTATTATATTAATAATTAAAATAAATTATAAATAAATAATTATAGTTATATTATAATAATATTTAATGTATTTATTTTAGAATTATTTTATATTAAAATTATTTTCTAATAAATAAAATT